CAGTTAATGTGGGAATTCCCCTCGTTGACTGTGCCAGGGAGGGTTGGACGCCCATAATTGTGGTTGGCATTGCGTCATCTCTATTGTCGAGAGAAACCCATATGAATGAATCTTATATCATCTTCTTTCACGTCCAATCATATGCGAGAGTCAAATCTGTAGGTTTGAAATTTGAACAAATTATTCCACCATGTCGTGCACATCAATTATTAACAGTGAGGGTGGTGACAATTCAAACACAAAACCTAGAGATCAAAGATTTTAATGTCATGTAAAAAATCGATTGATCAAAATAATTCAAATTATTGGAGCGATTTATTCTCAACATAAACAATGATACATATTCCATATGTAAATCCCTCCTAACAACTACCGTTATCAAGCTAGACCAACCAATTCTTCACGGTACCTACCACCACCGTAAGTATTAATAAAAAAAACATATATATCAACATAAATTTCAGTGAGAAACTTCATGAGTGTTCTTGGTAATGGGAGCTGGCCGGTGGGGTTGCTAGCTTAGCTAGATCGGTGGCTGATTCATGGAGTGAATTGGGATTGTTCATATCTCAGAGAATGTTAGAAAACCAAAGAGGGTTTTTTGCAGGGGCGGCCGACGACCTATAATTTAATAAACTACAGTTTCCTTTTAATTAATTTTCCTCATTTAGTTGCATGAATTTCCCCAACTTCCTTTACAAGTTCGAGGGAGAAGATAATATATATACATGAAGTTCGAATTTTTTATTCCATTTTTCTCTTCTTCACAGTGCAAAATAAAAGATAATATAACCGTAACCCTAATTTTTTTTATTGGTCATAACAACTATGGAGTAGCACAATGCACGATCCTATGCTGCACTTTACACTAATCCAAAGACCGCAGTGCACACAGGAAAATATATTATAATTATATGTATGCATATATGCCCAATTCAGTGCACTCCCAAGTAGTCTTAGTCTTATTATTATTATTATTATTATTTTAACCCCAATTGCATTTGGTGATGATTTGCTCTCGTGTAGTCAAAATTATAATCACTTATATTTATAATTTGTACACTCACCCAAAACTAGGACAATACGTGCTAACAGGTCGTGAATATACATAACTATTACAGGTTATGTTATTGAACCATATAAATATTTATATAATTTATTTTCCTACTTTGTCTATCGCTCAATAAGTGCAAATTCACTTGGAATTTACCGTGGGAAAATGGTGGTGGCCGCAGAAGTTTTATTATAAGTATTGCTTTGGAGTTAAAAATGGGGATGCATATATTTATTTATTTCCTTTTTTTTTCATACCATACATCAATTTATTTATTTCCTTTATCCGTACAGGTATTTATTATTAATGAATGTTGAAGGGGAAGCAAAGTTCGCGGTGCTCACGTGCCCCTCCCTTCGTTCCATCTGAATTCCCAGCGCCTTTATTATATGCTCCCACTCTTCCCTTTCGATCACTCCCTCGAGTAATTAAAAAAGAGACTGGTATTTTTTGACAGTAAAAATGGTGTTTGTTACTGCGGTAGAAATACTAGTTCAAGTCATTGGGGCGGTAAAAATGGTGTTTGTTTCACTCATACATATAATTTTTGGACAACATATTTATTTATCAGTTAGTTAATTAATTAATAAGCATTTGTGCATCACAGTTGAAATGATTTGTTACTGGGGAGGATATACCTAATATTAATTCGTGGGGGGAAGTGTCTTTAAATAAAATTAATTAACGTATCTCTCATGCAGAGATCACGTCACGTGCTCATTCTCAGAGGGAGGAGCGATATTCATGGGTCATGTTTAAAAAGCTAAACCGACAAATAAATAAACAGACTCAATAAAATATTTGAATTAGTAATAATGGTTAATTAAGCAAATGTTAAGGGTTTAGTCGGTGATTGGCCTATTATTAATTTATTAAATTGAAAAGCGGGAAAATGGAAATTAAAGTAGAGAGGCAGAGTGGGTGATGTTAGGTTAGCAGTTGGCTAGCTTGTATTTTAGTCAAAGGGGCTTCTCTTCTCTTCTCTTCTCTGAGCAGTTTCATGTGCAGCAAGAAAGCTAAGCTAAGCTACTACTGAGTGCCAGTGGCAGAGGATTGATTCTTATTCCATCAAGGGAGGCAGGAGGGTCCATGGTGCACAACGGTTAAATCATTATTCGTTCGTGTATTTATTATTCCCTTATGTTACGTGTGTATGAGTTGTGAAGCTTGTATTTTAGAGGGTTGATCATACGAATGTTTTTGTCGATCTTAAAGGTGATTCACTAAACCCAACATTAAACAGTTATGTTAATCTCCGAGTATAGTAAGTATGCACTGGAGGAGCTAGGTTGAAGCAGGAGGAGCTATAACCACCCTCAAATTTGAAATGTGAAGAAAATTACATGTAAATTTCGTTACAAATTTTGAAAATAGAGTAGTCGTTAAGGTATTAACCCTTCACTTCTCAACTCATCCCGTATCGCAGTTCAAGGCAGCCCTCCTCATTCAAATTTCTGACTCCGCGTGGAAACTATTATCTATTTGTTGAATCAGAAAGAAAAAGGTCAAGAAATGAAGGGATGTACTGATTTTTTTTTTTTAACAACTAACTGTGAGGTTGAAAAGGAGCTGTCAAGAGAAGAAAAGGAAAGATAAGAAAGCAATTCCACTCTCGGCCCGACTCCTCCACACACACAAAAGCAATTTCACCTCAACATTTCTTCACCCTTTTCCCCCCTCCATATCAGAGAAAAGGCAAATATCTAAAGCATATGAGTAGTTAAACTAAAACTACAACATAATTGCATGCATGAGAGCTTCCCAAGCATCTATGCATTGGGGGAGGGATGCATTTCCATGTGTGGAGCAAAAGTGTTTGTCCCCTCCTTCCCTTTCCCCCACAACTAGCTAATCTTCCTTCTCAGGACCATGACTTGGCTTGCCTGCCTGCAACTAGCCGTACTTTCACACACAAAAACTGCTTAGACATGGACACAAATGGAAGACTCATCACACTAAACCAGCAGCTACCTTTCATTGGATCGATCCCACGAGGCCACGACAAAAACGAACAGAGATGTGTGTTCGACAAACATCAGTAAGTACAAGGACGAGGTAGCTAGTTAAGCATGAAAGCGGAGGAAGTGTGTTTGGTAACTGATGTAAAAAAAAAAATGCAGAGGGTTGGTTAAGAATGGTGAATATAACTCATTTGGTTGATCATGGAAACATAAAGAAGATGGAGACAGATACAGACGCACCTAAGGTAATATATCACCCAACAACTTCCCTCCCCATACCTTATCTGTTCCTTGTTCAATGACAGAAACTCAAACCACTGCTGATAAAATGGCCATGCATTGTTGCCTCCTGATAGATAGATAATGGGAAGACATGAAACCAACCACCCAGACGTTTTTGCTAGTGTCAGGCCAAGGACTGCCCATAAGTAATCAATGGCGGATACAGATGGAAGAGAGCATATGGTTTGGTTTCACTACCAGCAGTGTAGTAAAAATAGTATGATGATATTCCTCTTCAAAGTTTTTGAAGATTTTTTCAATTCAAAAGAAGTGATGTGACAACAACCCACAAAAGTGCAGAAGAATCATATCCAAGATTTTCATTGTTATTCCCCTTGAGACGAAGACGAAACTCTAGCGACAGAATGTGAGTTCACAAAGAGACATGTCCTTCGTCTGACTAGGTTCGTTATCGAGGCACACTCAGTCCCAGCTCTGCAAAACAATTAGGAAACAAAACCCATCTTAGAGTGGAATAACTGGCATCACATATTCACTTGAAGATGTTCTAATCGAGACGATTGAGGAGCATATGATGATTAGAAACAAGTGTCAATAGAATGCTCTAGCAATCAATGTCGCCAATAAGGTTTAATGCATACGTATAAGTTTTAACAGCCAGAATGAGTTAACAGCCAGAATGAGATACAAATTGATAGTGAATAAGATAAGATAGAGTCCTAGAGATCTGTTTGGGCCATTCACAAGTAACTCTAGTACCCAGTCCCCCAAAAGTGTGGACCGGATTGGACAGGTGAGGTCTTACTGCATTGAGAATCAGAGGGTGCCCACCTATTTCAATGCAAACTGTAAGATGAACCTAAAGACAGTAGTTCCAATAGAATGATTGATGTTCTTCAAATGTTAATAATCGAGACAAATATGTATCGAGTTGGGATTAAAGAAAAATGTGAAAATCCCACCATCATTCAAAGCTACACTATGAGGACAACAACATTCCAATGACCTCATCTCCAACTAAAACTCAAATTACTGAAGTTGAAGAATGTATACAATTTGAGCACTAGTAAACCATGACATACATGTAGCGATATACCTATTGTGTCTTGCGAAAGAGCACACTGTATTTCTTTTGAAGGAATAGCTTCAGAATAAATACCACACTATTTGACTTGTAAATGCCTAGTATATCCACCTCTGTTCCTAAACAAAATAAGGGAAGTTGTTTGGCAGACTCTATGCACTCCCATATGCACAATTGAAAAAGGAACCCGTGCAGTCCCTATCTACTCCGTGTTTCAAGTAGATACTCGAACAGTCAAGCCATTAATTTTTCAGCTCCAAATTGAGATAATCTAAACCCTGAATAAGGAGACATCAAAATCAGTATGGCCTAATTTTTCCCAAATGGCTCTCTCTACTGAACTAAAGGATACTCGTGCTACATGAAGCACCTATCGACTTATCAACCAATATTAAATACTTGCTATCCCTCTCCTCAAGTATCAAATGTATCATTCTCTACTCACTTCACATCTAATACATGCGATTCACCGGTCAATTGTCGTGGTTCGTGGCATTTCCTATCCAGCACTAAGTTAGTAGAGGGGACAACTGGAACCATAGCAATTCAATTGAAGTGCTATAAACAAACTAGAACGAAGTAAAAATACATGGAACTGAATTCAAGAGTAAAAAGTTGCTTACAGATAACCAAAACTAAAAGATTTCGGAGAGATTTATCAAACTCCTGGGTTCGCACTGCAGAGCATACCCTGAGACAACGACCGTGAGCTGGTGGAATCGATGCCAAGACACGATGTGAGACGAGCTGAAGCAACGGCGGAGTGTAGAGGAAGGAGCGACTGAAGAGCACCCAGTTGAGCAATTGGCCTGAGAATTGGAAAAATCCACAAAGTTCAGTATTCACAGAACTCCTCATAGAATTGAAACGCGAAGGAGCATAGTGCTTGCCTTGAGAATGTAGAAGAAGGGCGAGCTGGGAAAAGAGAAGCGGCCGAGGTGGGTGTGGGTTTAACGCCGGCCGGCTTGTTGACCGCGTGTTTGAAGAGAGAAACCGTTGATTTGGAAAGAGCTCTGTAACGAGTCGCCATTGATGCCCGAAGGTGAAGACCCAGGACAGGAGGAAAGTTGCTGACTTTAGGGTTTGTGCGGGAACAGAATCAATGGAAGTTCCAGATTTGGGGAGGATTGCCGAAAGGGGTTTTTGTGGGGTTTTACCTCAGAATGATAGAACGGCGTCGTGTGCGGAAGCGACCAACCAATCACCCCTTCCCGCCAAGTCCCGAACCAAAGGAGCTTGGCCGGTCGAACCTCTGGCCCATTTGTAGTATAGCAGTACTGTCGGTCGATCTTAGGCTCGAGATCACAGTCTCAAAGCTTCATATTTATTTGTTACAAAGGTTATGTCAAAGGAAGGGGTTGCATGTATTGCTCTTTAAAGATCAAGGATAGGAATGTCTGCCTCCATATCAATCCAGACACAATGGTTAAACAGAGCGAGGAGAGCATCGAACCATATGCTCAATAGCAAAATCACATGCAATAATCTACTTTAACATCCAAACAAATGATTTGATACAGATCCCAAACGCCAATTCTCGTATCCTGGCGCACGCTAATACATCAAGATATTCAGCGGACTAAAGAGACAGAATCAGCTTCACCGAGTGTCTGATCCCATACTATGATGATGATGATATAGACTTGACTAGGCAGGCAGCTCGTTCGCTCTTCTCCCCAGGTTATCAGAGAAGGCGTTGTTTCCCTGTAACGGAATCCACTGATGATTTTGGACCTGCTCATCAATGGCAACATCGATCACTCTTCCGGTAATCAGTTCAAACCAGAAGCCCCTTAATTAAATGAGTTAATGAAGAATTGGTTATGTCATACAACAACTGCAGTTTTCTGAAGCCAACAGTAAAAACATACCAGGTCCAACAGCCATAACCGTGTGTGAGCCGGCAGCAACCTGTCCAAATTTACAGCAAAACAATCAGCTTTTCTATTTGTATACAGAGCTCGACAAATGTATGATCACTTATACTTATTAGATCCATTTGCAGCCTGGAATCCTGAGAATACTACAAGTTTAATATTGGACCATGTGATACTGGAAATTTTGGGCACTGAACTGTCTCCTGAGAGACAATGAAAACACCGAAATCGTTCTAATAAATCATGGTTAGCATTTTCGTTTCCTCCCATAAATTTCCATGGTTGTGTTGCTGATGTGACAACCTCCGCATACGAATTAAAGGATGCTACATCAGCAACATATGATGAAAGCTACAGGGAAAACGGGAATGGCAATAGTGACTTATCAGGGCAAGTTTTGTGATTTAGTTGTCCCACTATCCCAGTTCAGTCCCCAATACGATGTACACGGACAAATCCCTAGATGAAATTGATACTTAACCCAACATAAACATATAAAACTGGGGGTAAATGTGCAGCAGCTTTCAAGCAATACCATATTCCCCATCACAAACTATGAAATATGGTATCACTACTAACAGCATAAGGCCACATGAAAAGACTTTGCAAGCGGACTTGGTGTGCCTAAGACTTGTCTTCAGTCATCATTCGTGTCGTTCCGAAAGCTCTAAAAGTCACATTTAGACACCAAGATCTGGAAACCTAACCTTGCACTTAAGATATCCAGGCTTCACTTTATTTGGACAACTTCTTTCCATAAATATAATCAGTAAATTGATGAACCAATTCTTCAAAAGTCCTACCTGTGTTCTTCCAGCATCAGCGACCACAAATGTTGGGAGGCCGATGTTCTCAGCTGCTTCCTTGAGCTTATTCCTGATGATCAAACACATCTGAGCATCATCTATCCGAATAAGCAAGTACCGGAGATATCTTGGCAATTTCAAAACCAAACTTTCTGTTTTACTTGTCAGGAAGTCACTGCTTACATTTCTGTTTGATTTTTGCAAGTAACAACTATTTTAGCCTGCCCACATTGTTCCCACCGTCTCAGAAGCAAGCGATCACTGCAAACCCACACACGAAGAAAATGTGTCTCATTTCACTTCTTAGCAATACCGGCACAACCCCACAGTCAAAAACCATACAAGTTCTTTCGTGATATATCTCACACAGATGTATGATATGCAGCATCATTTGGACAATGCACATTTCATAAAAGAAAACCAGTGAGGCATTGAGTACTGAACGACGATAAACGTTGTAAGACAATTGATATCAGTACTACACCAACCTCTGAAGGAGTTCTGAGTATAAGCCAGTGGATGCATCTGCAAGATGCTAGGTTAAAAACTCAATCAGAAATGATATTGCAGCAATTGAAGGAAGTGGTGCAAATGGCAAAAGGGATAGAGAGATTTTCTGAAGCTATATTCAAATTCAAGCGTGTCTTTTTATTTAGTACAGTTCAAGCATGTCTTACGAGCACACTGTGAGGCAATCTTTCCAGTACCCATCTTCAAGTCTTGCCTAACCACCAAAACCTGCCACCACCCAGTTTCCCCCAAGTTCATCAAAAAGCTTAGGAATTGGAACTATACAAGAAAAACCCAATTCCATTATAACAAAAAAGCATTAATTAAACGAACCATTTTAAGCTCACGGTTATTGTCACCGTCAGAGGAGTCCGGATTTTGCTGTTGGGGTTTCCCAGGTAAGAAATTCCTCTTGGTGGCAGTAGATGATGAACCTTTAAACGGTTTAGTCGACAAATCTATGAACAGTCCGATAATGAAACCGATTACGAGCCCCGGGATGAAGTTCTCCGGCTGGAAACCATCGGACAACCCACCGGTTTTTCCCTGCTTCTGCTGTGGTCATGCCAGAGATATGTACGAGCAGTCAGTAACCGGAGCTGAGAAATCAAATTCAGGGGATTTAGAGAGAAAGGAGAGAGGGGATTCAAGAAGGAGTATTACCTTGCCGGAAAGCTGAGACTCTCGGGAAGAAGCCCACATGGCAAGTGAACCTGCAAGTTGCTCTGGCGAACTTCAGCCGAATTGAAGAAGAAGATGAAATGAGACTTGTGAGCAGTTCGCTGCCTCGGCACAGTGGATAGATGGCTTACGAGTTAAGAGCATGACGAACCTGACTACGACGCCGTTTAAATTTGTTGATCTCGAAATAGGTGTTTTGAGTGAGATAGGTTTTTTTTTTTTTTACAAAAGATAATCATTATATTGATTGAGCCAAAAGATCATTACACCCTCGAAATTAACCACGACAAGAAAAAGCAAAAGAACGACATGAAATCGGGTATAAAATATAATCATTATATTGAGTGAGATAGGTTAGACTTTATTAAATGTTTGTTATGTTCTTTAATTTGAAAATTAACACAAGTAAGAATCATATCGATTTCTCGTATTTGTTCTCTCACATTATCATAAAAGGCGGGGAAGTGTAGATATATATTGATTTGGGCACGTAGATGACGAGTAAGGTTGTAAACCTTCGAAGAGTCTAATAACTAGCAATGATTGACCCCAAACACTTCTTCAAAACTCGTCAAACTCATGACTTCAACCGTTGTCTAATTGACATAAGTGACTAGTTGAATTTTATGTAATTAATCAACTCATCTCCCTCATACAATTAATATATCTAGACCAATGATAAGACACTTATTTCTCAACCGTCCATCTATTCTAACAATTTACAATTTAATACAAATCCTAAAAACTATAATATCCAATTTCTTATCGGTATCCAGTCGGAATAAACTCGATCAAATCCGATCACACCTAATTAACCTAGCATTGTTGGAACAAATATGAAATATCCATCACTCCAAGCAAGACCGTTGTTTCTTTTGTTATATGTTCTAATCCACCTAAGATACATAACTTGGATAAGTTCATACCGTTAGCGGGAACAGAAAAAAGAACGAATATAAAATAACGAAGAGGACGTGGGCAAGTTTTCATTCATGGCTTTGATTGGCTTCCTTTTGGCAGTTAACTTGTCCCCTAGAACCGCTATCAAGAATATCCCTTCCCTTTTCCCCGCCATCCTGCTTTCCTTCCTTCTCCCCCTTCTTCTTCTTCTTCTTCTTCCAATTGATATATACAGAAATCACAAAACGACAAATCAATCTTCCTCTGCAACCCCCACAATGGAGGAAGATCTCTTTTCCAGCACCGGCTCCTCCTCCCCTCCGCCGCCGCACCCTGCCTACCACCGCTCACGCTCTCGCCCAACCCAGCCTGCCGCCGCCGACAGAATCTACCGCGCGCTCCGCCACCACCTCCGCCTCCTCCACCGCTCCAACTCCGACTTCCACGTGCTGGGCGCCACGGGGAACGTCTACACCGTCTCCTTGACCGCCGTCCCTTCCTGCACCTGCCCCGACCGGATCTCGCCGTGCAAGCACATCTTCTTCGTCCTGATCCGCGTCCTCGGCCTCTCCCTCGACGACCCTTCCCTCCGCCGCCGCAACATCCGCCCTTGCCTCCTCCACCGCCTCCTCTGCACCCCTTCCTCCCCTGAATCACTCGCCTCCCCCGCCCTCCGCCGCACCTTCCACCACCTCTTCCAGACCCGACTCCGCCTCCAAATGGCGGCGGAGGCGGAGGAGGATGGAGGCGGTGATCCGGCGAATCGGCGGCGGAGTGGGGTCGAGGTGGAGGAGGGCGCCACGTGTCCGATTTGTCTTGATGAGATTGTTGCAAAAAAAACAGGGGAAGACGAAGAAGAAGCAGAGGAGGGGTCGTTTGAAGCGTGCGGCACGTGCGGGAATTTGGTGCACGAGGAGTGCTTGAGGAGGTGGAAGAGGAGCCGGGGGAGGCGTGGAGCCACCTGCGTGATTTGCCGGTCGAGGTGGAGAGCCAGAGGTCACCGCCGCCGGCGTCAGGACAATGATGAGTACTTGAATTTGGGGGCTTATGTTAGTGAAGATAGTTCTTCTACTTGTGGGTTGGTAATGGGCGATAGTGGCGGTGGCCGGAGTTTCTTTTCGCCCTGAATTGATCAGATCGTGATCCACAGCTGATGATTGTAATCTGTTTATGTTGATATTAGTGGATGGTCGTAGCTTAATCGCGATTAGTTGATCCTGTGTATGCAATGTTGTTGACTCTGCCATCCAATTGTAAATACTCAGAAGAATGTAATCTTCTAGACTTGGTGTGTGTTTAACTATTTGTGAATTCATCTGACACAAAGATCCATCGTTGTGCTATTTTAGAGTGAATACTGCATAATGTTCGATACGAATGCATACAATTAGGCAGCGCGTATTAGCTCCATATTAATCTGTCGAAAAAATGAGTATGATCAGACGTACACACAGAAGCTAAGCAGGTTTTTCAGAGCAAAGTATCTCTAGTGATGATTGATTTCCTTTACAATCTCTTGAATCCTCTTCTTCAGCAACTTATCCTTCACACCTCCCAGCATTCCTTTGTACAACCTCTCCAGCTTCATTAGCTTCCCACGATCCGCGGATTCCAACATCTCCTCCCACTGCCTCGCAACATCGAGGCCACCACCAGGATTCTGCCAAGACGAGCTAGTAGCAATCTCGTGCTCTCTGAATGGTTCGCCGAAAATCAGCCCATGAAGCATACCTGCATACTGCTCCATTGCTGTGTACTTGGATTGCAGGAGCTTCATCTCATCCATTGCTGCAGACAGTCTTTCGTCGTCTGTGTTCTTCGAAGAGCCGTCTTGGTCTCCAATGTTTTGCTCGGATAATGGAGGCCATAACACGATACTGGGAGCGTAAGAATCAGCGGTGTTGCCAGTTCCAAGCACTCCACTTCGTCCCCTTCCCCATGACCACAGCCTGTATCCACCATCGGCAACGAGGACAGTGTGTGCAGCTCCACAAGCTACTTGAACTGGATTGTGAAATTTACTGATCGGCAAGGGCAATGCTGCATCTCCTGCAGTATTTGTGTGGTTAGAAACAAAAAGAAACCGTTTATGTAAAATCAGAAGACCTGAGAAATACTATTTAAGCAGTTTGGTTTCCGGTTAACTGCAAGATGAAAACTAGTTAGCCACCCCTACCTGCATCTGTCCCAGTGAAGGTAGCATCTGGGCAGAGGCCGAGACCCTTTTCCATCCCCCATGACCACACATCTCCACTTGATGAAGCCACGCTAGTATGAAACAAACCACAGTCAACTGACACCAGGTACATTTGATTTGGCAAATCCTTCACAGGTTCAGGAGTTGACACACTCTGAGTGGTTCCATGTCCGAGTTGTCCATTATCTCCAAGCCCAAATGTCCAGCAGACACTTATATAGGCACCATCATCACCTGAGACTCTCTTTCTGCGTGACAGCAAAGCAGTGTGGAATGCCCCACAGGATACCTCGTAGACAGCCGAAGTCTGAACAACTTGTGGATGGACTCTGCTTACTCGATCTAACAGTCCTAACTGCCCGTGATTATTGTTACCCCAAGAATAGCATACTAGGTCCTGCTCCCCACCACCACCACCACCACCTTTGTTGCCTGTTGAGTCTCCTTCAACACTTACAAGGGCTACTACATGTTCATTCCCACAAGCTACCTTAACAACCCTCTGGCCGCCTTGAAGATCCCACACAGGAACTGGAGCGAAACTGCTGACGAGGGAGAACCCACCTTCACTGCTACTATTGCCGCTTTCCTGAGGACAATTACCCCATATCCACAAGCCTCCAACGTTATCAATTGCCAGTGACATCATTCCACCAGCTTTGATGGAGCAAATCTGGAGCAGATATCACAATGTCCAATGAAGTCTCTTTCTTGCAAACTTGGCAAAAGTAAGCAATTAAGTTCATTAGTTCTTACCCTCAGTGGCGTTGCGCTCTTAGTTTCTGTGTCCTTTGATAGAGAAGAGAGGTTATGGAACTGGTCTAACAACTGCGGTACGACAGGGTTCTCTCCATTGACACCAATTTGGCCATCCATGTAGAAAGTCAAGGCTGTACTACAGAATGATTGAATAATAGTAGTAGTAGCCTACCACTGGCAAGACTTGAGCTTAAACATCTACATTAAGAAACAGCGCAAGCTTTTAATCAGACGACAATGACTAGTAAGCCAAAAATTTTAAGAAGGATACAGACATTGTAACCCCAGCACCAGACCGATCCATCGTCTGCCAAGAAATGGACATCAAGGAATTAGATAAGCAACTTTGTCTGCAAAAATATGCTCTTTTAACTATCCAAAAGCAGTTTGAATACAACTAGAGCACACTACCCACGAGCAACAAGCAACTGTGGACCAGAAGTATGCATTAAGCTCACATCATTTGCTTTCAAAAAAGCCTAACTAAGAAATTGAAGCCTTACTTCCACTCCTTTCCCATCAAAGTTTAGATGATAAATTTTGAAGCGTTGCAACCACAAGCAACTGTGAACCAGAAGCATGCATTAATCTCACATCACTGACTTTCAGAAAAGCCTAATTAAGAAATTGAAGCCTGACTTCACTCCTTCCCCATCAAAATTTAGATAATGAAGATTCTTACCCCAAGAAACAGCAATAGAAGTAAAGAAAAAAGTAGACAGAACCTGCAAGCGCGAGACTATGGTAAGCACCAGCAGCAATTCCGACGAGCTTGATTGGAGGTTGATCACCGGAAGGTTCAAACTTGACTGGAACAGGGAAGGGCTCGTCTTGTTCAGACCCAGTTCCAAGTCGGCCAAACATTCCTCTTCCCCATGAATAAACGCGGCCATCCCCTGCAATGGGGAGATGGAAATTTCTCAAAGACTCATTCTTTCTTCGACTTACAAGAAAGGAAAGGAAGCCCCATATGGAAAATGAAGGCAATTGCTGCGGGGAAGAAGTTAAATTGATAAATTATTACCAGTGAGGGCGAGTGTATGAGCTTCACCAGCTGCGATGGAGACGACTCTGCGAGATAAGTCGGCCGTCTGAGGTGCTGCGGAGTCCGCCATTTCCGTCCGGCGGTAAATGGAAGTGTCCGGAGTTCTCAGTTTGCAATGAAATGGGCCTTTTCCGGGCTTCTGTTGGGTTTTCGCCGAATTTGCCCACTCGGCGCTATTCCCTTCCACTCCTGACCTGAGTCTATCCTAAATCCTAATTCCTTGCTCTTTCTTTATCCAGCAAACTTATTAATTTTTAGATTAATGACTATTTTTTATTCAAATATTTTTTAAATTCTTTTATATTATCCAAGACCTATTAAAATGTTATTAATTAGTAAAATATTTCGTAATGTAACAAAATATTAGTCATTTTTATGTTCTCGTTAATAATTTTGTAAATGTTTTCTTAGTTAAAATACTAAAATTTTGGAATGTTGACATTCATGTGTCTCTTCCAAGTCAATATCATGTTGTCAACGGTCAAGTCAACATTACCAGCAAAATTGCTAACGGGAAGTTAACATTTGACTATTTCTTAATATTTCTATAGGTTTGGCTAATAAAAAAGAATCTGAATTTTTTTTTATAAAAAATAGTCAGTACCCTAATTTCTACATAGTTCTATAACTTTTGAAGGGTAAATAACATGCTTGGTTTGAAATTACTAATTTATTTCATATTTACCCCTTTTAAATTTTTAATTATGATCACCCAAATTGAATTAAGATCACTAGAGTAACCTTATTCTAACTTGAGTTATTAGAAGCCGTTGATTTATTATATGATATTATATATTGTTTGGCCAAGTGGTCGTGTATTCGAATTTCCATGTCGAGTTGACATAATATATGACGTGATTGTGCAAACTTCAAATCCTTGATATGACTTTTGTTTGAGAGAGTGTATAAGAGAGTGTACACGATTCACAATTAACACTCTTCCAACAACTCGACACCAACCTGTGCTTTTTGACACCATTAACTTTCACCCGACTCAGTTAACTCTGTCCATATTTTGATGATGGAGCTGACAGATGAAGAATTGCACAGAGACTTTTCCCCATAGATTAACAAACGAAGCAAGTAAAACAAACCCAGCAACACAATAGCAATCGACATCAAACGCTGACCTACGAATCTACGATTGAATTTTGATAACTTAACGAAGCAAGCATTGATTGATCACTGATCACCACCATCCATAGACGACCCTGGTATAGCTATCCTTGAGCCAGCGGAAGCTGTTCCTGAATGTGCCCTTGACTCTGCCCTGTGCGCTGTACATTTTGTAGCTAGCCACCCTCTTCTTCCTCTGCAACTCCGGGTCCTTCACGCTCCACGACCTCATTGCAGTCCCAGCATCGTTCTTCTTCTTCTTCTTCTCTTTCTGCTGGTGGGACTTACTGTGGCCATTTTGTTCTTGTGGATGATGATCATCATAGTAACGAGCCACCTGGTAGGAAGAAGTGCTGTAGGATCTCAGCTCGTAGCTGGAGGCAGAGTTGGTCGCGGAAGCGGCAGGTAGCCTGCTTGGTCGGTCGTTGTAGTTGGAGCAGGTGTAAGACCTCGATCTGTTGTAGTAGTATTCCTCCATGGCTGGCTGGCTGGTGCTGGAGGAGAAAGGGCAGGGCCAGAGCCCAGAAGGAAGAAGATGAAGAGGAAAGAGGCAGGGGAGGAAACAGAGACTGATAATGATTATTTGAGGTGTTGATTGATGGAAGGAAGGAAGCATGCTATTATAAAAATTGGAAAGGTGGGGAGTGGGTGGGTGGAAGCCAGCGTGGGAAATGAGACAATGGAGGTTTGTTTATGGCTATGGGGTTGGGTGAAGCTTTGAAACTTTCTTGGCTACTTCCTTGTGTTTTGGGGGCTGTCACCAGGTTGGGAAATGGCGTGTTTGGATTGGGAATCGAGGTTGTCTGGCTTTGTCTTATCACTTGGTAATTGGTATTGTTGAATTTGGAATCCTTTTTAAAATGTATACGCTAAAGTTCGTTGTTGTTGAAAAAATAAATAATATTGTTAACTATGGTTTTGAAATTGTGAATTTGTTCCATTTCGGAGTGCTAGTGTTAGAGATGTGAACGGGGCATCAAAATCTTGACTTGTCGTATGGTGGATAAGTTTGGTGCTTGGATGTCATAATGCATGTACGAATTCTTAAACATCTTAGCTTAATACGTGCGGTCATAAGTTTAAGCTCGTGTTGATCATTTGATCATCTGCAAACTTTTTTTTTTTTGTTACCAATAGGCTATTGTTGGTGTTCAAGTATTATGTTGTAAAACCTTGACTTTTTACATGAATTGTCCAGAGTGGTGTGGACAAAGAGGATCGTAATTTTGCAGTTATCAGAACAGTTTCACGATCCTAATTTTTGGGACTGCTTCTACATCTAAGAACACATAAACGTGTCAAGTGTCCATCAATGGCTACATCAAGTACTTTTGCCAAGTTTTCCTATATTTTTAACTCTTACTCAATTTCCTTAACCCTAAGAGACATATCATCAAGTCTATTAGTAGAAGCTTGCAAATCGTTAGAGCTCGAGAATCATCATTGGTATGATTTTTATGAGAAATAAGATTATGTTACAAACAAGAAAGTTTGGTGATCGATCTTGCCATGTCTTAAAATTCAGGTATTTAGTGTCTAACTCAGACTTCCCCGGTTAGCTTTCAATTTTCAGACCTCACTCAAACAGTCAAGTCGCCGACTTTTCCTCGTCAAATCCCGCCATCCCTAAACCCTAGTTTCCCACTCTCCGTCTACAATGCCGGGACTCGCACCGGGCGATTCCGCCGGAGGAGTGCCCGACTCAGTCAACGGAACACTCGTCCCTTACTCGTCAGATTCTCATGTTTCAGCTATATACCCGCTTCGACACGGTCTGAACCCACCAATCTCCCGTGTCTCCGTCTCATGGGGCCGCGGCAACTCGCTCCGCGTCTCGGTATTCCGGCAGCCGGATTCCGATCCCAAATCCGACGGAGAAGCCGGCGGTAAAGTGGTGGAGGTGACTCTGGGAAAAAGCAGGGACGGCGAGATCAGTGATGCCCAATGGCGCAAAATTGCGTACGGTTCCGTCTCCCCCTTCGCACTTCTCCAGAGCCGGAAAAACTCGACTGCCAGCTTGTCCAGGATGCAATTGTCTCCCTCTCCTTATCACCTTGAGTGGTGAGCTCCGCTCGAAAGAATGCAAATTGTGTTTTTCCCTCTGTTTGTTCTTTGCTTCTCTGATAGCTGCAAAAAACGAAATGTCGATATTCAGGTGGGAGTATGTAATGGAGTACAGCAAGGACATAGGCTCGCTTCTGGGGGATCCCAAAACTGCTTTAGCTACTTTGATTGAAGATCCGAATGAGGTTTTCCCAAAGGTGAGCGATTGGATTCAGTCATCGTTGGACTAGAAATTGGTTGTTTATGAATAATGAGTTGCTCAGAATCTTGAATGGTGTTGGGTTGTAGAAAGTCGAGGAGCCAAGCAGTTTGAAGGCAGCATGGGAACTGATGGAAATGTTCTATGTGGATAAGTTATCTCAAGCATGGTTACCTGAACGCCTTGTTGATTGGTTAGCTGTAATGTGTCTCTTTTGAGCTTTGTCTCTTTACTATCTCCAAGCCTGACATCGTGCTTTTAAATCTTTGGTTGTGTGATTCTCATGATTTGTTTTTTGTTGCAGGACTATAATAGCCTTATATCTATCGATCTGCCAACTGTTCACTCAAAGCTTGTGGAGTTTCAAAATCAAATTGTCACCTTACAGGTTTTGCTTCTTTTTTCACAATTCTGTCAAATTTCAAAATGAAGCTTAGATGCCACCGTCTGCTAGCTTTGTGATGTATCATATCTTTGTGAACTTTATTGTATAATTAGACGCTTTTATGTTTGTTCTGTAGGTGATTGAGGATGATCCAAGGTATTGGGACTTGATATCATCAGCACTAGCTGTTGGATGGTTGGAGATTGTGGTAATTGTTATCTCATTGCAATTAATGCTGCATCCATGTTGCTTATTTTTGTAAAAACAGATGATGAGTAGCTCTACTGGAGCAAGTTTGAGAAAAATCCGACTCAAGAATTGCATTTGCAGGTTAAGTTATTGCGTTTGCATGGATCTTATCGACTGGATCAACTGGGCAGAAGAGAGGTTAGGAGTCATTTGTCCATGTTTAGCTATGCCATGAGCACATTGTCTGCTCTTTGCGAATTCATTTCAATTATTATAAATAAAGCGAGGGAGGGGGAAAGAGATCTGATATGATGCTACCTTCGTTTTTCCTGTCACCGATTAGACAGAGAATGGTCTTGTAGAGGCTGTTGCTGTTCTAATTTCGAAGATGCCTCGCATGCGTCCGGCTATAGATGCTGGAAAAATTGGTGAATGCTTTAAAGCGAAGCCTGATTTTGTGAAGGTAAAATTTTGTGTGGTGTGCTTAGGGGCGTAATAAATTTTGAAGTATCTGTTCTTTCCAGTATTGTTACTCATACTTTGCGTCGCCTTTTGAATTTTCCTAGGCGTGGGAAAGATGGCGTGCACAGATAACTAAATTGGATTCTAGTGCATTCTGGATCCAGTGTGATCATCGTCAGACCCGGGAAGGATTAAAAAATATGCTCCAGATCATGCTTGGAAATGTCGATGTTCTCTGCTCTTCTACATGTCATTGGATGGAGTTATATATATCTCACTTCTTGTACATACGACCTTTCACTGCTGTAGGTTTCCAATTACTTGGTTGTTCAAATAGTTCTGAAGTTAGAAATGTTGATTTCCCTTTTTATGATACATTAGTTTGATGTTCGTTTCATTCAGTTCTATTTTTATGCATCAGGGACTTGAAAGCATGTATAGCTTGGCCCAGAAATGTTTTCGATTGAAACATACATCCAATCCCCATAAGCTGATGCGACTCATGATTGGAATTCTGGGGGAGAATAATGAGGTGATATGCTGACAGAGCCTGTGAATTTAACATAATTTGGCTCTATTAATTATTTTTGCCTGAAATTTCTTCTATTTCACCTACTGCTGTAGGTTGTGTTAGCAGAATGCTCAAGAGGGTTTGGTACTTGGTGAGCTCTTGTTCTATTCCCTTAATTAAGGCAGGCTTCTGAAGTATTCATGTTTATTCATAATGTGTTTTGGATTAATTCTACCCAGCTTTTGCTCCAGTTGTGGGGGAAAGCACATCCAACTGTGATTTAAATTGGCCTATCCCAGT